AATACAGACGCGCTCATCAGACGCGGTGAGTGTAACACACTCATCCACACACGGGTACATTCACCTTGTGTGTCCGTGCCCAAACACTTGGGCTGGACGGTAGAGCGACGGTCTCGCTTCCCATAGGTCGGCGTTCAATCCCCGACCATCCAAGTACTTGGGCACCATTCCTCTCCCCTCCGTCCTATCCCACATCCTTATCCTGAACCCTTCCCAGTGCTATATAGTCGTAATGACTTGGCGATTTCCCTGATAATTCCCTCCCTGTGTGCGCGCGCGCGCACGTGAGCTCACCAAAAATTTACTATATTTGGGTTTAAAAGACAATCTGGCGCTACTCAACGGACCGGGGTGGAGTGACCATGTATCAGAGAACACTGAATGAACATCAGAGGTCCACGGTTGTTCAACGTCCTACCAGCAAGCATCAGAAATATTACAGAAACAACCGTAGACATCTTCAAGAGGAAACTAGATTTTTTCCTTCAAGGAGTGCCGGACCAACCGGGCTGTGGTGGGTATGTGGGCCTGCGGGCCGCTCCAAGCAACAGCCTGGTGGACCAAACACTCACAAGTCAAGTCTGGCCTGGGGCCGGGCTTGGGGAGTAGAAGAACTCCCAGAACCCCATCAACCAGGTGTCAGATGAGGGAAACCAGCCGTGTCACACGAGAAAGGAGAGACTAAGGCCGAGATGAGTACCCAGACATAAGGTTACATCCCATCCTGTTGGTGGTCTACATCACCGGTGTGACTGCGGGAGTAGTCCTGCACCTCGGTATTCACAGTCTACGCCAGACTACGATGCAGAGTACAGTGTGGCGAGTACAGTGTTGTAGGAGAACCTCAACAAACTTCACACTTCGTCACAAAATGCTTAGTGAACTAAGCCCTAAACCAAGTCAACAATGGGAACTGAGTTCTGGCGAGAGGAGCCGGCTTCCACTGTTCACAATGATGGGCTAACCTGCACACCTGAGAGACCTAAGGTCCCACACCTGAAAGACCAAAGGTCCCACACCTGAGAGACCAAAGGTCCCACACCTGAGAGACCAAAGGTCCCACACCTGAGAGACGAAAGGTCCCACCACCTGAGAGACCTACGCTCCCACACCTGAGAGACCTCCAGAGACAAGAGACCTCTGGACATAAGGTAAAGGGGTTACACCGTCAAGAAGTACAAGCTCCAGAGGGAAACTAAGTATATCAACAAGAAAGAGATGATCAAGTTGAGAGTAAAACAGAGACGGGATATAATTGTGGCGTGAGACTCTCCCAATAGAGAGTCGTTGGGTAGAGATATTTCTCATCTCTCCCCCTCCCCAATCCCTTCTCCTCATGAGGAAATGTGAGGAAACTGCTGAGGAAGGTGAGGGAAGGTCAGCAGTTACAACACCAGACATACAAGAGATCAACTTCATGGTCTGCAACAAAAAGATGAGTGACAAACAGGAGACACTGCATCGCGACAGTTTAATAACTCCGGCGTCAGGAGCTAAATCTTGACCTTGACATACATTTAGACGAGCAGGAAGACGAAGAGGTAGCTTTAAATGTTATTAAAACGCGACACGCAATGTCCGTAGACTTGTTCGCCCACATCCCTACCCCAACCATGTCTGCCAGTGCAGACCGCTTATCACATGCCTCTGTATGACTAACCAGCCTGTGTGATGGGGATTTTTTAGCATCACCTAGTTAGCTTTTTTGACACACTGTACTCCACTTCATATAGTCTAGGGTAGCTGCACTAATGCAGATGTACCTAATATGTTAATAAAAAAAAAAAAAAAAAAAAAAAAACCACTATACTGCCTGCACTGGTATACCAGCTATACCACCAGCTATACCACCAGTCCACCTCCATACTGGCGCCCACCACCACCACCTCTATCACCAACACCACGCCCACGAACCTTTCATCGCTCACCTAAATGCCACGCCCACCAATCCCCCTCGTGACCTCAAAGCGCCGTCCTAGTGACCTAATTTGTAAATGAGCGGAAGGAGGGGTGTGAGGGAGGCCCCGTAGAGAGCCAGGGCAAGGAGCAGACACACTACCAGACAATGTCAACAGTCTGGTAGTGGATGGGTGGTGGGTGGGGAGGGGGTGCGCAGGGGGTGGCAGGGGGAGGGGGGCATTGAGGCGGGACGAAAATACTCGGCCCACATTGCTCCGCTCACCTGTCTGACCTGGAGTGACCTCGTCTGGACCAGCCCAGTCATGACTCAAGCTAGGCAAGAGGACGGGTGCAGGCAGCTGGCCAAGATGGTAACAGGGAAGGGTAAGACATAACACAGGAGAGAGAGACATTACATGAGACTGGATAGTTTGGTGTGCAGGTCAGGTATTTAGTGATATTTATTTTGAATTAATTGGCAGCGTTTGAAACTTTTCATAACTTTAACTTCCATTAAGTACGTTATGAGAGGGGGGGGCGGCCATCTTATAATGTAAGAATGATTGAACTCGTGCACTGAGAATATGGGAACTTAACAAGTATGTTTGTAGTAACGATACACACCGCAGGAAGTGTAGAGGGCGCGGGAGTAGCGGTGCCAATAGTCGATAGTGTGGTGGTGTATTGCTTGGCCATACCTGCCCCCCCCCCCTCTCAACCCAAAAGATTCACCTCATATATTACTGAATTAGTCCAAATGGTACACTAAAAACATGAAACTAACAACAACAACAAAAACTAACGTGTCTAAGCAATACTAGGCCCAACAGAGCATATATTCCAGCTTTACAAGGCCTAGGAATATTCAAGATGGTTTTTGGGTTATTTTGTCCGTGTCTCGACATATTATATAACACTAACACTGCTGCTGCTGCTGCTGCCACAACACTATATAGTGCTACGCTCCTCCAAGTACTTGCTGCAGGTACTGTCAATGTTGTGCACGATGGCCGGAAGTCCAGATGATCAACAAGTGGAACGTACTAATAGGGGGAGGGTGAGGGAAGGCACTGAGGGGAGGGAGGGAGATACAGAGTGAGGCAGATAGAGAGAAGTTATTAGAGAGAATGGTTGCAAGATGGAATAAAGATAAATGAGCAAGACAAGGAAGTGGAGTGACAAGGGAGAGAGGAAAAGTGTGTGTAACAAGGGCTGGAGATGCGATAGAGAGAAGAGAGGAGGGAAAAGGTGTAAAGAAGAGGCCATATTGATTCCTGGGCACGAAGAGAGGCAGGAAATACTGATGTGTCTCTCTCTCTCTCACACACACACACACACACACACACACACACACACACACACACACACACACACACACACACACACACACACACACACACACACACACACACACACACAGCCGGAGGCCTCGCGGTTAAGTGGACAGCGCTCTGGGGTCTTAATCTTAAGGGCCCAAGTTCGATCCCTGGCAGAGGCAGAAACAAATACAGTTTCTTTCGCCCTGATGCCCCTGTTCACCTAGCAGTAAACAGATACCTGCGAGTTCGACAGTTGTTACGGGCTGCTTCCTGGGGATGTGTGCGCGCGTGTTTAAGAGAAATATATGTAGTCGACATAGAGGAAAAATATATTGGTTAGAAAGGCGGGGTCCAAGAGCTAATAGGTCGATTCTTTAAATATATATAGTAAATATAAATATTAAACACACACACACACACAGATGTAACTTTTGAATTCTTTCCTCGCAAAACATCTCCAGCAGTTACAGGTCTCTTGAGTGACCACCACCACTACTATCTTCGCCGCCGCCGCCACCACCACCACCACCACCACCACCACTACTATCTTCGCCACCACCACCACCAAAACGCTGACTCTCTCCTATAAATCACTTGTATTACTGCTGTAATACACAACATTGAGGCGTCCTTACATATGTGATCTATTACCGATGTTGTGGCCAAGCTGCCAGGAGTACTCTAGCAGGACCAGCCCGCCCACCTCCTAAACATTCACAACGTCAACAACACGCTCAAATTAAAGTGCCCTCTCCTAACCTGCCAGAGAACCCACAACAGATAACGGGATAGTACGTCACTTCCGCCAGCCGCTTCCATTTTCAAGTACGACAATGTTTGGCCTTGTATAACGCATACGTGCGAAATGCGACGTTGTTTGCAGGAGGTTGGAGGGATACCTTCATACTTAGCTTGGTCCACCGTGAAGGTTTTGTCGAGGACCAGCCCCCTGGAGGTGATGGAGGCCCAGACCTGTTCCTCGATGGCTTTGTTGACTGGCTGACCTGTCACACTTGTGTGGTGTAGGGGGCGGTGATGGTGACAGGTGTGGTGTAGGGGGCGGTGATGGTGACAGGTGTGGTGTAGGGGGCGGTGATGGTGACAGGTGTGGTGTAGGGGAGGTGATGGTGACAGGTGTGGTGTAGGGGGCGGTGATGGTGAGAGTAACCACTATGCAACATAGATGCTCACTACATGGGCCTACCAAGTGTGCACTAAGTGACCAGCGCTTAATTCTAATTGTAAAGTAATAATAATTATATAATCACCTCCGTTTACAGTGATTTTACCAACTTGTAAAACCCCATTTCGCAGCATAGTGATGGTGTGGCCGCGGGCCACCAGGTGTGGCCGCGGGCCCACCAGGTGTGGCCGCGGGCCCACCAGGTGTGGCCGCGGGCCCACCAGGTGTGGCCGCGGGCCCACCAGGTGTGGCCGCGGGCCCACCAGGTGTGGCCGCGGGCCCACCAGGTGTGGACGCGGGCCACCAGGTGTGGCCGCGGGCCCACCAGGTGTGGCCGCGGGCCCACCAGGTGTGGCCGCGGGCCACCAGGTGTGACCGCGGGCCCACCAGGTGTGGACGCGGGCCCACCAGGTGTGGCCGCGGGCCCACCAGGTGTGGACGCGGGCCACCAGGTGTGGACGCGGGCCACCAGGTGTGGACGCGGGCCACCAGGTGTGGACGCGGGCCCACCAGGTGTGGACGCGGGCCACCAGGTGTGGCCGCGGTCACCAACAGTGAAGACAGTAACAACTAACATCCACATAGACAGGTTCACTTACTGTTAAACATAACGTGGAAGTAAGCAGAAGCCGCTGCCAGCACCACCCGGTGAGCGAACACGGACACGGCGCCCGCCACCAGCTCGATGTCACACAGCTGTGAGGACCAATGTTGATATTATTATTATGTACCTCCATTATCATCATAATATAGCAGTCTACCTACAGTGCCCAATCGCTATGGCACCTGCCCCACCCAGCCCGTGCCCCGTGCTGCGGGTGCCTACCAGTGACGGTACTCCCAAGGCATCACCTCAACAGCGGTCAACTTGCCACATCTTCAGAAGCAACACATATATGATTGTCACGCACAATAAAATCACAATTGCGTGATATATTCATGAGAAAATCTTTGGAGTTGTATAAGGGAATCGAACTCAGGTCTTGTGTCACCGCATTCGCTGGCATTACCGCTACACCACGATGTGCACACCGATTGTTCTCATTTGAGTCATTACTAAAAAACACTTCAGCAAAATGTATTGTATTATATTATATTATATATATATATATATATATATATATATATATTATATATATATGTGTATATATATGTGTGTGTGTGTGTGTGTGTGTGTGTGTGTGTGTGTGTGTGTGTGTGGTGTGTGTGTATGTGTGTGTATGTGTGTGTATGTGTGTGTGTGTGTGTGTGTGTGTGTGTTTTACCCATATACACAAACCATCACTTTTTACACTGGTGTTTTCAGGCCTTGGCGTGAGAGTCAAAGAAACAGGGACAACGGTAGTCACACACTTCACCCTCACTCACGCGCTCACAACACAAAACACAACAATATAAACATCTCTCTCACTCACGCGCGCACAACACAAAACACAACAATATAAACATCTCTCTCACTCACGCGCGCACAACACAAAACACAACAATATAAACATCTCTCTCACTCGGGTACACCTTGAAAATCAATTCATGTTATTCCTTCCGGGGAGACACGTGTGCAGCTGTCACCTCCCCCACAACAACAGCTGCTGCTGCTGCCGCTGCTGCTGCATCAGGGGGGAGGGGCGCTGTAAACAACGAACAGCTGTGCAGCTAGCCACACACACGCACACACACACGCACACACGCACGCACACACACACGCACACACACACGCACACACACACGCACACACACACGCACACACACACGCACGCACACACACACACACTCCGTTTCAATTGTAGATGATAGAGCCCAGTAGGCTCAGGAACCTGTACACCTGTTGATTGACGGTTGAGAGGCGGGACCAAAGAGCTAAAGCTCAACCCCGCAAACACAACTAGGCGAGTACAAATAGGCGAGTACATAGGGGCCCTGTGGCTGAGTGGACTGCGCTTGGGGCTCGTAATCCTAAGGACCCGGGATCGATCCCTTGCGATGGCTGAAACAAATGGGCAGAGTTTCTTTTATCCTGATGCCCCTGTTACCTCGCAGTAAATAGGTACCTGGGAGTTAGACAGCTGTTACCGGCTGCTTCCTGGATGGGGGGTGGGGGTGTTGTGTGCATGTGCGTGCCTGTGCGTGCGTGCGTCCGTATGCGTGTGTGCGGAAAAAAAACCGTTGATCGAGTGACAGTTGAGAGGCGGGCCGAAAGAGCAGAGCTCAACCCCCGCAAGCACAACTAGGTGAAGACCATAATAAATTACTATACATTTAGGTCTCTATAGAGACCGAAACACAACAGTATAAATGTCTGTCTATTTTCACATAGTGGACGAAAAGCAATATACTTCGGTCAGCAGACAAGACAGACACACATTTTACACCCGCAAGATACCGTAAGATTTCTAGTGTTGACAGATGGTAATCATCTTGTTTGAGGAGCCGTTCACTTGAGACAGTTAAGCAAGTCCCAGCTGTGTCTGGGTACAAGTGACAGGATGAACAACCCAGCGGGTTTTCTTCCTATTGGGGAGTGTTGTACATGCTGATATGGCGGTGTGTCCACTCACAGGATGAGTGGCGCTGCCCAATACTGTCACTATGGCGGTGTGTCCACTCACAGGATGAGTGGCGCTGCCCAATACTGTCACTGTGGCGGTGTATCCACTCACAGGATGAGTGACGCTGCCCAATACTGTCACTATGGCGGTGTGTCCACTCACAGGATGAGTGACGCTCCCCAATACTGTCACTGTGGCGGTGTGTCCACTCACAGGATGAGTGACGCTGCCCAATACTGTCACTATGGCGGTGTGTCCACTCACAAGATGAGTGGCGCTGCCCAATACTGTCACTATGGCGGTGTGTCCACTCACAGGATGAGTGGCGCTGCCCAATACTGTCACTATGGCGGTGTGTCCACTCACAGGATGAGTGACGCTCCCCAATACTGTCACTGTGGCGGTGTGTCCACTCACAGGATGAGTGACGCTCCCCAATACTGTCACTGTGGCGGTGTGTCCACTCACAGGATGAGTGGCGCTGTCCAATACTGTCACTGTGGCGGTGTGTCCACTCACAGGATGAGTGACGCTGCCCAATACTGTCACTATGGCGGTGTGTCCACTCACAGGATGAGTGACGCTGCCCAATACTGTCACTATGGCGGTGTGTCCACTCACAGGATGAGTGGCGCTGCCCAATACTGTCACTATGGTGGTGTGTCCACTCACAGGATGAGTGACGCCGCCCAATACTGTCACTGTGGCAGTGTGTCCACTCACAGGTTGAGTGGCGCCGCCCAATACTGTCACTATGGCGGTGAGTCAATTTGTACTCTGGCAAATATCACTGACACCTTCACGTGGGGTGCCAGGGACTGGTCAAGTGTCACAGGTGGGGTGTCAGGGACTGGTCAAGTGCCACAGGTGGGGTGCCAGGGACTGGTCAAGTGTCACAGGTGGGGTGTCAGGGACTGGTCAAGTGCCACAGGTGGGGTGCCAGGGACTGGTCAAGTGTCACAGGTGGGGTGTCAGGGACTGGTCAAGTGTCACAGGTGGGGTGTCAGGGACTGGTCAAGTGCCACAGGTGGGGTGCCAGGGACTGGTCAAGTGTCACAGGTGGGGTGTCAGGGCTGACTAGCACTTCACTCTTACGGGCTAGTCATGCCCGTGCCACCGCCTGGGTGACTTAATTTTCATCAATCAGTCAATCGCACTTCACCGAGAATGACTTTCCCGCCATGCTGGTGCGCCCGCCGGCCACCAGTGTTGTAATGACAGCCGACCTCAGTTATCCGCCATAATGGACTCGTCAAGCCAGGATATAACACTTGGAATTTGTGGGGAAAACAGTTTTATGGGGACCAATTTGAAATATGCAGAGTTTTTTTTTTACGGTGTAGAACAAAGGAGGTGGGAATAAGACTAACCCACACAGCTCCCACTGGTGTGGGGGCGGCGCCATCAGCTGTGGTAATATTTTATACACCAGCCAGTGTGTGTGTACAGTGTTACTCACAGCACGAGGGGCGGGGGGTGGAGGAGATCGGCAAGCTGTCTTAAGAGCAGCAGCAGGTGCAGCAGCACCAGCAGCAGCAGGTGCAGCACCAGCAGCAGCAGGTGCAGCACCAGCAGCAGCAGGTGCAGCACCAGCAGCAGCAGGTGCAGCACCAGCAGCAGCAGGTGCAGCACCAGCAGCAGCAGGTGCAGCACCAGCAGCAGCAGGTGCAGCACCAGCAGCAGCAGGTGCAGCACCAGCAGCAGCAGGTGCAGCACCAGCAGCAGGTGCAGCAGCAGCAGCAGGTGCAGCAGCAGCAGCAGGTGCAGCAGCAGCAGCAGGTAAATAAGAAGGAAGTGAAATCATTTAAATAGCCTGTAAGCCGCACTGGACAGAGCAAGCCAATTAGGAGTCACTCCCCCACGACCAGCAGTATTAGACCTGCTCAGCTATGGAATTAAAGCAGAAAAAGATTCCCTGACCCAAACAAAGGCTTCAGTTCCCCTCTTGTCTATTGATCCTTCGGGCACTGGCGTATTCCAACACCGTCAAAGGGGTTCCTCACCCACAGAGGCAGCTCTAATACATCAAGCCTTCGTTATTCTCGCCTCAACATTTCTCAACTCTTACAAAGCCACTCTGAAGCATTCAGACACGGCGTGAAGAGGAGAGGAGAATCGTTCTCTCTTTAGAGGAGAAAGAGAACTTTCTCCTCTAAAGAGAACCGGGTCGTATTTTACCCAATCTCTTGATCAAGGCATCTCTGATCTCTCCTACACACACTTCAAACACGTGCTGCAAAAAAGGGATTCATCCTATAAAACCGAATCCACACTGTCTTCTAGTTCACCAATTTGCCTTCAAAGCACTATACATTACCATACAACAAACAGCCTACCTGTAAGGCCTTTGGTGTGGTGGGTGAGGTGGAGGCCCTGAAGGCGCCCACAGCCTCCGCCCTCACCCACAACACAGCTGGCACCAAGCAGTACAGGAGGCTACAGAAGTATACTGACACAAGCGATGGAACACTAATTTACATCCAACCGAAATATTGGCTCTGAGAACACACACGCGAGCACGTACAGTGAGCACACAGGCTCTCAGTACACACGCGAGCACAGAGTGAGCACAAAGGCTCTGAGAACACACAAGAGCACAGAGTGAGCGCGCGCAAGTGTTCTTGGTCTGTTGCTGGACACACCCACCTCCCCCCCCCACACACACACCACTGGAAACACCCACCTCCCCCCTCACACCACTAACACCTCCACAGCCAGGACTATGAGGAGTGATTCACGAGGCTACGTGAGGCTACACGATTGAAACTCTACGTCGCTGAAAGACGAAGAGCAAAGGGAGACATGATTACCACGTACAAAGTTCTCGGGCAAATGTAAAGAGTTTAGCCAGGGTGGTACATGAACAAGGTGACACAAAGCAACCAAATACTCAAATGAACAAAAGCGATACCAGAAGGATTTGTATTCAGTGTCATAGTGAACTCCAAACACAGCTTCAAATGTAGACAATAGAGTCCAATAGGCTCTGGAGCCTGAACACCAGTTGACTGACCGTTGAGAGGCGGGAACAAAGAGCCAGAGCTCAACCCCCGCAAGTACAGTTATGCGAGTAAACAATATTCTTGCCCCCCCCCCCCCTCCAGCCAACCACACCACTCCTCCAAGCCAACAATCAAAGACAACGACCCACAGAATCTCCTTCAGGAAATGTCTACACAAATGAAATGTGTTCATTGTGGCGGGAGCCGAGCGGCTGGCGCACGACGGAGGAGACACCGTCCAGTAAACAATGGAATATAAGAAGAGATGGACCATGAAACTAAGATGACAATATTAGTCCTGTTTACACTTTACAGTGATTAGCATCCATCCTCTCCTGGTTTCCTCTCTATTTTATACTAGAAGTGTACCCGGCAGTGCCCGGATTCTCTCCCTCCCCTCATTTTATCCCTTCTCTCCACCCCTCCCCCTCACCCCAATCTCCCCGCCAACCTTGGACAGACACACATTTCCATTTATACATATAGAAAGGGTACCCGGCAGCACCCGGGTCTCTTCTCCCCCTCTTGCCTAAACTTCACCATATCTCCCCTTCACCCCCTCGTCCGCATCTTCTAGGTCCCTACCTTCGTCCTCCCCCCCACTCTCTCCCTTCCCTCAGAAAATGTATTATTTAAGAAGCGGTGAAACAACTGTATTGTCTTAGAAAATGTATCACTAAACATTAAGGAAACCATAACAAATATTTCACTCTTCATGAAAACAGCATTGGGTCTTTATAAATGCTAATATTGCTTAGAGCATTAAACTTAGGCCGATCCCGATCAGCCTATGTCCGTCACATAACCCAGACCACTCTCCTTGCAAGGCTGGGTGAGGATAGCTCCAAGTGTCTAGCCTCAAACTTTGGACGGACGGATGGACACAGACAGTCTTAGAGTATAGATTCTTAATCTTTCTCTACCTTCGTACACTCTAAATTTTCCCTCTTAATTTATCGCTCACTGCGTCATCCACTTCTTTATCTCCCTTACACACACACACTCTCTCTCATCTCCCTCAAACTACACCTCATCTCCTTCCTCCACTTCTTATCTCCCTCTCTACACCTTCTCTCATGTCCCTATCTCTCTCTCTCTCAATGTCCCTCCCCACTCGTTTCTCTTTCCCCCCCCTGCTTGCCTCCTACACCCCCCCCCCCTCCTGTACCCCCTCCACTTAACCATTACTCCCCTTTTACTGCCACTTTCCAGAAACTCATAACCCTCCGCCTTTGTCTCCATGTACGCCAGCTCTACCCATCTCTAATTCCACCAATATGCTGTTTCCTTCCACTATCTCTCCCCCGCTCCATTACCCCAGTTCTCCCCCCTCTCCCTCCCTCCCTCCCTCGTAGCCTGCTACTGGAACCAGCAGGGCGGCGTCCAGTGCCTGCTGGGTCTGCACCGTCAGCGCCCCCGGAACGCTGGCTCTCTTCCGGATGGCTTCCTGTTAGACCATTGCATGGAAGGTGCAGAGGGAGCACCAGGGCTTTCATAATGAGGGATATCAACATGGGGCTCCCTAAAGTCACTGGGGCACACTAACACAGCACTCCACTCAATAATATACAAATAATTGTACAAACACAATTTAGCATGGCCAACCTGGCACCATAGTGAGCCCGTAACTTACCTGGCACAGGAGCGGGGCAAGTAGCACGGGCTATGGTGAGCCCGTGGTGGACTTACCTGGCACAGGAGCGGTGCTCCTGAGACGGAGGCAATGGCAATAAATAGGCAAGAGAGAGGTGAGGAGATGGAAATCTTACAGGATGGTAAGAGCAAGGCAAAAGGTACGGAAGGTAAGGTGTAATAAAGAAGGTATAATAAGAATAAGAAAAGAAAGGAATAAGTAGATAAAAGTAGAAAACACAAAGTAAGAAGAAGTCAACAATAAAGATGACGAAAAAAACTGGAGAAACGAGAGAGGAAGGCAGTGAGCAGGAAGATAAAGTCCTATAGAGAGGATGGTGCCAAACAGGCAGGCAGGGAAGGGGGGGGGGGAAGAAAGAAAAAGAAAGAAAGAAAGAAAGAAAGAGAGAGAGAGAGAGAGAGAGAGAGGGGGGGCAGACCATGCCAGGGAAAAGAAACAGCAGGAAGAGTATGACCCAAAAGAAAGAAGAAAGCGAAAAAACCAGCAGATGATGGGGACGTAACACTTTAAGGACAGAAGCAACAGTTGCAGAGTGTATAGGCCTAGCTGGGGTCTCCCCAGATGAAGGTCGCCTGGCGTCTGGCTCCCTCCCCACCACCCCACCTCCCCTACCTTCACACGGGGGCAGGGGAGCAAGAGAGAGTGGGAGGGAGGGGGAGAGAGCGGGGTACTAGAGGAAGACAGGGTAAGACAGGGAGGGGGTGAACATGAGAGGGTTGGAGAAATAAGGGGGTTTACAACACCAAACTTTCCCAAACCAATAAGAGTTATAAATGTAGCGTCATTGATGACAACAGTTGACTGACTACCCCGGGGCACACACACGCCTGGAGTACCTTACCCACCACACCTCTCACTCCTCACAAGCAACTAGGCCAGTACGGAACTATGACCCCGTCTTGAGGTTATCTTGAGGTGATTTCGGGGCTAAGCGTTTCCGCGGCCCGGTCCACGACCAGACTTCCTTGTTACACACACACCCAGGAAGCAGCCCGTAACAGCTAACTCCCAGGTACCTATTTATTGCTAGGTAACAGGGGCATCAGGGGGGAAAGAAACTCTGCCAATTTGTTTCCGCCTCCACCGGGGATCGAACCCGGAACCTCAGGACTACGAATCCGAGGTGCTATCCACTCAGCTGTCAGACCCCCCTAACACACTACAGCATTTGACTATAACTCAACGTACCAATCATAATCTTCGTATAATATTAAGTCTGAATTAAATATTATATGACATTAAATCATTTAAAGACCTTATACGCAAATTAAAAGGATAATTATTTATATAAAATATATAGCAACGTGGCAACACGTCACTGAGACAGTTGCCAGGCAGCACCAGAGGGGCGCCGCCCCCCCACCCCACACTCAGGGGGGGGGGGGGGCTTACGTCAATAACAAATCAGAGACCAGATTTTCTGTATTAATTTCCTCCCTATTAGTATCTCACCACGACGTCTTTACATTGACCTTTATTTTGAGATTTAGTTATTTTAAACGTGTAATCTATTATGACGAAAAAAATTGCTACAGGTTGAAAAATAGTTGTCATTAGTAAAAAACAAAACAAAAAACTGAATTCTCTCTCGGGGAAAAAAAAAAGTTTTCTTACTGAAGCAGAGGAATAAACGTGAAAAATCTGAGGAAATTAGAAAATTTTGAGCAAATTTTTGAGCAAATGTGAGCGAGCTGAGAGTGAGTGGCCGCACGTGACCCCTCCCCTCCCCAAGTGGCCCCAGAAAGCACAACAAGCAGGTGGATCAAGAGCAGGGCACTGACCTGGGTGTTGATCCGGAGTTTGTTCATGGCCTGGAGGGCGGTGGAGGCGTGGTCAGGGGTGGAGTGGAAGTGGTGGGTCTGGGGCTGTGTGGGTGTGCCCGCGGGCGTGCCCGTCGGCGTACCCATCTCCACACTCATCCTGGCCGACGTGGGTGATCCCCCGGCCGTAGGGAGGGGGAGTTGTGACGGTGGAGGAGACGTCACGGCGGTACGGGGGAGGCTTGGAGGGGGGGGGGATGTACTGTAGTTACGGGTGTGGGAGGTGGACCTCCCTTGGCGTGGGTCAGCGAGGTGGACCTCCCTTGGTGTGGGTCAGCGAGGTGGACCTCCCTTGGTGTGGGTCAGCGAGGGGGACCTTCCTTGGCGTGGGTCAGCGAGGTGGACCTCCCTTGGCGTGGGTCAGCGAGGTGGACCTCCCTTGGTGTGGGTCAGCGAGGGGGAACATACAAGTACCCCCTTCAAGGTCTCTTGTAATACGTCAGTATGCCAGGATCGTCCCTATGGATGTGTAGACTATACACACGTCCAGTTAATGAATTTAGACTCTCCTCCTAGTGTGTGCGCTTCAGCGGTCCTACAACGATTAGGTCTGATTGACAGTACCGAAACAAACTTGACACACAGTTCCTGATCATCACTAATCTTCGTTTTCAGATGGTTTCTTGAAACGGTTTAATCCACTCGCTAAACACATCACAATGTCATGAGTAATTCATTACATTCAGCGTAATGTCACGAGATTGGCCCTGATCGCCAAATATTGTTTCTAAACTTTGTATTTTTTGTCAGATACTGCAACAACTTCCTTATTGGTCAATACGGTGTTTGGCGAGGGCCGGGTGTACATGGGCCGGGTGCATGCTGCAATGTTGGTATTGATGGTGTTGACCTTGTGACCGTGGCAGTGGGAGAACACATGCACCACGGGTGTTCAACGGAAGCCTCTGGAAAAGACAGCATATATTAATTTACTATGTACCTCAACACGGGAGTGTGAGTGAATGTGTGTGCGTGAGTACGTGTGCGTGAGTGCGTGTGAGTGTGTGTAACATGTATCGAGTCATTTATTAATCCAAACCCCACGAATAAAATCCAGTCATGCCAGGCAGTGTGTGTGTGTTTTTGTGGGGATTTAACCGGGTTTGTGATCATTCACCTACATATATTTCCCTATACTCTAATATTATACACCCCTCCTAGTGAGACCTTACATGGTTACTTTTACCTTCTACAGTGTTATTTATACTATCATTTAAACAAGAGATGAGGTATGTGAAATCCGAATTGAAAGATCCCTAGAGTTATCAGAGTTACGAAAGGTGCCTTCAGGTGACTGGCCATCCTGAGCACTGGTGGGGGCACTCTACCACCAGGAGGTGGGACATGAACACTGGTGGGTGTACCCCAGTATACCCACCAGTGCTCTACGCTGATGTGTAGAGCACTGGTGCATTACGCTATTGTGATTTATGTGTGTAAAAAAGATATACTTTCCGCGCGGCCCATTTTTCTAGTGTCAGAAGTGTCCCTCACCCCCTGCTAGATTTGGACTTGGTGAGGCCCTAAGCTATATAAAGCTTAGAGGACTACTGTTAACATGTTACACCAGAAGGTTCTCCAAAGGTGCCTACTTAAACAGGACCCCCCTAGGTGTTCCCACAAAATTATTAAACACATATATATGCGTTTTAAATATAAATATTTATAAAGAGGGTGCCGCCTCCTCTGGTGCAATTGTAGGGACCCACAGCCTCAAAGACGGGAACACAGAACATTCAGAGAAAAACTTGCCATTTAACTCTGAATACGTACGAGAGTTCGCTTCTAAATATTGTATGTATGTATGTATGTATGTATGTATGTATGTATGTATGTATGTATGTATGTATGTATGTATGTATGTATGTATGTATGTATATGTCGTACCTAATAGCCAGAACGCACTTCTCAGCCTACTATGCAAGGCCTGATTTGCCTAATAAGCCAAGTTTTACTGAATTAATATATTTTCTCTAATTTTTTTCTTATGAAATGATAAAGCTTCCCATTTCATTATGTATGAGGTCATTTTTTTTTATTGGAGTTAAAATTAACGTAGATATATGACTGAACCTAACCAACCCTACCTAACCTATCTTTTTAGGTTAGGTTAGGTTCGGTAGCCGAAAAAGTTAGGTTAGGTAGGTTAGGTAGTCGAAAAAACATTAATTCATGAAAACTTGGCTTATTAGGCAAATCGGGCCTTGCATAGTAGGCTGAGAAGTGCGTTCTGGCTATTAGGTACGACATACATACATATATATATATATATATATATATATATATATATATATATATATATATATATATATATATATATATATATATATATATATATATATATATATATATATATATATATATATATATATATATATATATATATATATATATATAAATATATATAAATATATATATATATATATATATAAATGCCTTCAAATGAAGGCATTTACTGATAGAATATTTACCATTTGGCTGACTTGATCACTCAGATTATAACACACTATACACTAGAAACAATACTTAAATAATTAAAATAATTTTGACACACCAATGTACAGACAAAAAGCTAAACATATATCCAAAAATGTACAGTTTTGGGAGGCCCCCGGGGGATTGAGAAGGCGCGGTCTGCGGGCCGCCTATCTTACGTGTAAGCCACGCACCTCACTCGCCCGGGAAGACACCACAAGGATGGAGTCTCAACACGACCCAAACCATTCATGAGGCGTAGACCAACTGACACCATCTGTGACTGGTCTTGGCCTCTTACAGGAAGGTCATTATCAACTCCTCCCTTCCCCGCCAACCATCTCCACCACCAACATTATCATCCCATTATCTCCTGCACCTCTTCCTCTCAAACACCCTCTCAACCTCCCCCCCCCCTCCCTACTCCCTTTGCTCCCCCAACAACCTCTTAACACCTTATCCGCACGCCTTCCTGTCCATCACCCATCCCCACCCATCCCCCTCTAAGATCTGTGCCTCTACTCCCTACTCTCACTTGAGGAACCCCCTCAGCGTCTCACCCCCCCCCCCCCCTCTCCACCAAAGCACTAAAAAGAATAAAGTGGCGGCGTTGGCAACATTCTCATCCCGGCAGCATCAGCGGCGCTTAATTCACTTGTAACAAACAATTAAAGTAAATAAGTAAGTAAGTAAGTAAGTAAGTAAGTAAGTAAGTAAGTAGGTAAGTCTGTGTGTCTGGCTCTGTCTCTCTCTGTCCCCCCCCCTCTCTCCCTCTCTCCCTCTCTCCCATGTCGGCCCAAAAGCGACACCAGGTCCGTTCAACTTTATAGTTTTAATTAACTAGCGACATCCAGCTACAAGTGTCTTAACTCGCAGGCTGGAATTATTGTGCCTCCTGCATCTGTGTTCGCTACCCTAAATTATAGAAACTAATTCGTTTGTTATCGCACTTTCCGTAATTTCTAATAATCTCCAATGTGGCGTTTTCCGATCGTTTCTTCAAATGCCCAACAAGAGCCATAAACGAGAGAGTATACTGCAGCCTAATGAAAAGTACAGTCATCAATGTGCAAAGTTATCCGGCTAATGGCTCGATGTACTCTAGCTAAAATATTATTTCAGCGATGTAACAAAGTTATCGTATTCACAGTAATGGCTTTATGAGAAGAGAAACAGAGCGACCCCACAGACATTACCCACAGCTAGAGGCGTTAAAGACTGCTAAATATATACTAATAATTTATACAGATAAAAATAATAATATATAGAAGTTAGAGAGGAATATCTCTAAACTTTCCTTCAGCGTTCTCAAGAGCAATTCCTCAGCATGTGAAAAGTTGGAGAGATAATAAACAAGTTTTGAATACACGTTCCACTGGCACTTATTACTGTGCTGGAACGCTCTTCCATCTGTGTTATGCATTACAGATCTTTCCTATTTTCAGTGGACTTTGGTCCAAAATACTATTATAATATTAGTCTAAAATGATAACTGCACCACAGTGAAGTTGTAATTTTAGACTAATAGTACAATAGTATTTTGGACCAAAATCCACTGAAAATGGCAAAGTTTCAGGCTTTCACATGACTAGCACACGCCGCCTCCTCGAGGAGGAGGAGGAGGCTTTGGTCCAAAAGCCTCCTCCTCCTCGAAGAGATTTTTGTGAAGGAACTATTTTTCCTGATAACACCTACCTTCACTAAACATCTTCCTACATCGTTTCTTCTTTATTGTGACTGACCTGTTGCTTGTCTGGCAGTGCATTGTTTAACACGTGTGCTTGATGATTGGGGATCACCTCCCCCCCCACCCCTCTGAGAATTATAGTCCGTTGTCGTAGCCTCATGACCACTTTTCAGTAGGCGATAGACTATTACAACACCGACAAGCGTATGACCCTAAGCCATCCATTTAACTTATTAAAGCGGATGCTCATGAGGAAGCATCCAAAATCGAGGTATTTTAATTCTACTAAACCCTCTATATTTGGACGCTGGTGTTGTAGCGTCTCAACCGAGGTGCAGCCAGTAGTAGTAGTTGTGTGGTACACCAGATCTCGTGCTTAGCCTCGTGCACACACTCTTAAGTCTCCGGAGTTAGTCTCAACCACCCTTCCTTCCAGCCCATTCAACTCTTCTCGCAACTCTTACAGTGAAGAAATGCTTTCCATGCCATTCCTATGGCTTTCCGGCCTCACAGTTGCCTAAGGGTCTCTGCTAGGCTCCACCCCCCCTGGGTACTTTTCTCTCAGTAATATTGAGAGGTTTCTTCACTGTATTCACCCATTAGTGAAGCAGAATCGAACTGCTAGCTCTTGGACTCCGCCTTTCTAGCCGTTAGTTTTCAACGTACCGACTCCCGACCCATTTTCTCGTGAACAACCCATGCTCCTGTTGAGATAGTACCTATTGTGACCATCGCCAATAGTCAGAATTCGTACGTTCTTAGCTTTTATGGACAGTAGCACACTGATTAGTAAGGAATTTTTTTAATTTAAGCTAAAACACAAACTAAAATATTCCTAGGCCTGCTATAGCACACACATGTACTATATTAGGCCTAGGGGGGTTAGGATAGGTTACTTTAGTTTGGCAAAAGCAACAAGTAAAATATAGTTTTCCCGTTTTTCTAACTCAATAGTTCAGATTTCTACGTTCTAATTTCGTCGTACGTCGGTATATATACTTCGGTCCTCATCGTTACAAGTAGTACTACCATAACAGGAGGTCGGGCTGCATACCAACTATCTGCATTTCTATATCTTTCACACATCCCAATGATGCAGCTCACAGTAGCTGTCTAACTCCCAAGTACCTATTTAAACAGTGCAAGGTGTACAAAGGCATCATATGAAATGGAACCCTGCCCAACTGTTTTCCGTCTCGTCCGGGAATCGAACACGGGCCTCTATGCTTCATCTGTCTTCCTTTCACCCGGTCTCGGCTTCCTGACCTTGCACACGAGGAGCACTTGCAAGACTATGCTTGCACTGTGCATGTGTGAGAGAGCAAGATAATTGCGGATACAAACAGGGAGAGACAGGGGCTCTTGACCTTTGTCAGTCTCGTGACTGGACACGTGGAGTGTGACGTCACAGTATTGACTCACATTCCCGCCCTCCTCCTCCTCCCCAGTAACGTATTCCCCCTCTCCCCCTCCTCCAGGCATACGCAAGAGAGAGAGAGAGAGAGAAAGAAAAAAGGTAAGGAGAAAAGATAAAGATATAGAGATAAAAATAGAGATAAAGAGAAGAGATGAGAATGCAAAGTGGGAAATTTATGCCAGATATTATTGGCATGTATAGAGGGGTTTTCCCCGGCGCATGAGTAGCAGCCACTAGAGCGAGCCGCCTCACTCCTCACGCAGCTGCCAGGGGGTGAGGACGTGTGTGAGCCTCGCTCATCGCGGCGGAAGGGTAATCATGATAAA